TCTATCTATCTATCTATCTATCTATCTATCTATCTATCTATCTATCTATCTCTCTATCTATCTATGCAGTAGTGCATTTGAAAAGTATTCACTGCACTTCACATTTCCACATTTTATGTTACAGCCTTATTCCAAATTGTATTAAATTAATCTCATTCCTCAAAATTGTACACACAATACCCCATTATGACAATGTGATTTTTTTTGTTTGATTTTTGCAAATTTATTAAAAATAGAAAACTAAGAAATTACATTTCCGTAAGTATTCACAGCCTTTGCCATGAAGCTCAAATTGAGCTCAGATACTGTTTCCACTGATCACCCATGAGATGTTTCTACAGCTTAAATGGAGTCCACCTGTGGTAAATTCAGTTGACTGGACTTGATTTGGAAAGGCACACGCCTATAAGGTCCCACCGTTGACAGTGCATGTCAGTGCAAACGTCAAAGGACTCGTCTGTAGACCTCTGAGACAGGATTGTGTTGAGGCACAAATCTGGGGATGGATACAAAAGAATTTCTGCTGCCTTGAAGGCCCCAATGGGCAGAGTGACCTCCATCATTTGTAAATGGAAGAAGTTTGGAACCACCAGGGCTCTTCCTAGAGCTGGCCGGCCGTCTAAACTGAGCGATCGGGGAGAAGGACCTTAGTCAGGGAGGTGACCAAGCACCTGATGGTCACTCTGTCAGAACTCCAGCGTTCCTCTGTGAAGAGAGGAGAACCTTCCAAAAGGACAACCATCTCTGCATCAATCCACCAATCAGGTCTAGAGTGGTCAGACGAAAGCCACAAGGCACATGGCTAGTCAAACAATGGCATGTGATATTTTGTTTTTTAGAAATATAAAACAATGATTATTTTTTTCTTAAAAAGACACACAAATATGAAAGAGGCTGATAGCTAACATAAAGCAATACCTTTAGCATGACACTGTTTAGTTTGTTGTTGTTTCCTCATCTGAACATCTGTATATGCAACACTAGTTGAGTAAACTTTTAGACCTGCTGACGTTCTGATCACGTGCAATGATTCAGTCTCAGCATAATCAGCATTTACACAATCTAATTATAGCGAGCCTATGCTCAGCACTCATACATCGGTGTAGTAACACAGACATTGTTCGTTTGAGAAAACTACAACAAACTAAACAAACAAATGGCGTCAATCACAAGTGCGCACGCTTAAAATCCACTAATGCCTTCTTTCTTTTCTTTGCCGTTTTTGAGAATAAGTTGAAAAACAACATATAATAGGACCTCAGTTAGCTTGCCATTAGCTTGCTCTTTTCTCAAAGGCTGGTAATACAGTCGAGCTTGGACTAGAGCCTGGAAGTTGAAGCTGGAAAAGGACCAACTTCCTTGTCAGCTGGTTACTGTACAAGTTTGAAATTGCACCCCCTCCATAATGAACAGGATACTGCCATTATACAGGTCGCGCTTGTAAATGAGTCCTTGTGGCTCAGTGAGACTAACCTGTATAAATAAAGGCCGACTGAAAAAAAATAAAAAATAAAATAAAATTGCACATCAAGTAATTTTTTTTCTTTTTTCAAGAGTTGACTCTTTCGATTTACATAGTTCTTACCTTGCTTCTGTTCAAATATCAAGTTGGACAATTATGTCTAGATATACGGCAGCACAACAGCTCAGTGGTTAGCACTGTTGCCTTACAGCAAGAAGGTCCTGGGTTCAATCCCCGCTTGGACCTGGGGACTTTCCGTGTGGAGTTTGCATGTTCTCTTTGTGCATGTGTGGGTTTTCTCCGGGTACGCTAATTTCCAAGACCAAAAACATGCATGTTAGGCTGCCTTTAGGCCCCCCCTTAAAAGAGATCTGTGACCTCAATGGGATTTGCCTGGTTACATAAAGGTTAACAAACAGTTTCTTCATACTCTATGAGAACTGAACCCATGTCACAGTTGACAAGGGGCAATCAATAACTGTTTGAGAGAACATCACGTCACAAATGGCCAGACTATCCCTTTAAATAAGCTTTAAAGTAGTACAGTTACAATAAAACGAGAAGCATTGTAAATATCTAAAGACTAATGAGACAAAAGTATCAGAGTCAGAGTTTCTTTATTGTCATTCGCAACTCATGTGGTACATGTGGTGGAGCGAAATTATGTACACAGGGTCCCAGTTACATCCAACAATAAAATGTAAAAGAAAAACAGTAATAACATCTAAGATATGAACTAAGAAAAACATCAACTAAATATACACTAAGCACTCATAACATAAAAACATTATGTTGAACATCAGCACAAACATGAACATGAGTCTGTGTGAGCAGATGAGCACGCATGAACACATCAACCTGAAACAGATCAGCAGCAACATGAAACAGATCAGCAGCAACATGAAACAGATCAGCAGCAACATGAAACAGTATCACTGATGTATTTAAAACACAACTTAATGACAATACAAAAATTATTGTTGACTCTAACTATATCACATGTATAAATTAGAGTAAAACAAAAAAAGAGTATTTTTTTCTGCAGAAAAATTAATATTTATATCAAAACATATTCTAAATGTAAGCTGTATGTTTATTTTAAAATGTTATCAAAACGACTAGACATACTCACTTGACAAGTTTGTTCTGAGACTGAGTCACATTATTGTGATAAACTTCTGAAGTTTAACAGTTAAATTATAGTATTTTATATAAAAACAGAAATATACACAATTATCGAACAGGAAAGAGGGCCAAAGAAATAATTTTGAGTGAAGAGAAGTATATTTTGAGAACTTTTTTTTTTTGCACTGCACTGGTGAGCGCAATTTTCCTGATTTCGGGATTAATCACCACCTGACGCGCTCTTGTAATTTCGCTAGTTTAACAAGTGTAATTATCTTGATATGAAAAGGTTTAATTGTCCCTGACTGACGCAAATGGACACTGCGAGCAGCGCTGCTCGCGCGCTCTTCATCATACATTCGTAGGATTCGGAAGTTGCGTCAGCACGCAACTCCGACGGTCTCCCAGGCAACGCCGCGTGCAGCGGTGACGCCAGCGAGGGCCCCCGGCTCGGCTCGTGGTGAGTGGGCGTGACTCCCGACGTTAGTTCCCCCTCCGCCCCCTCCCAGTTGTGTCTCCGTCAGTGTGGGCGGGGCTTCAGTCTGAAGGCGAGCGAGCGAAACACGACACCCCCCGAGGACTGAACGAGGCACGAGGGGGGAGGAGGAGGAGAGTGGAGTGCGAGAGTGAGTGGAGGACTAAAAAGTCTGCGAAGAAAGAGCTCGCTCTCCCTAACGTTCATTTCTGCCAAATAAGTAAAGGAGTCCTGCGGAGGAGAGATGCCGAACAGCGACGAAGATGCGGCGGGGACGGAGTAAACGGCTACCGGACAGTTAGCTTGCTAGCAGTTATCGAAACAACTTGAAGAGGAAAAAAAAAGCTCGAGTCGGGACGGTTGGTCTTCTTTTTTTTTTCTTCTCCCCCCTTAACTTGAGCAGCTCGAAACGAACCACAGGACCAGAAGAAGTGAGAACCAAAAGGAAAAAGCCACTTTACTTTTGTGTTTAAAATAAAAAAAAAGAGTCGAGTGAAACGGAGCGGAGAGTGAGCGGACGCGGCTCGAATCAGAGACGGAGCCGCAGAAGCTACCAACAAAAAGAAAAAGTTTGCAGTGTGTCTTCACCCGGTTCTCCAGACTGGAAACCAGAGCGGGAAGAACCGGAGAACTAAAAGACTGACTTTTCTTTCCACAAACCCAAATTTGTGGGATTCTCTCAAGCGTCTCAGTTTCTGCCAGAGCTGAAGCAGAATGAAAACACCTGGAGATAGTGGTGAGTTACGTCCCCCCCCATGCTATGATTGTTCCCTGCCATTGTGTCTCTTGTTTACTTGGCCGTGCTTGACAGTACGTGGATCGCTGATACCGGAGCCGAATAATTAACTAGCATCACTGTTCAGAATAAACTCAGCAAAGACCTGTTGATCACGAGTGGCGCTGCTGATAAGCAACACAAATCTGGTGCAGCTTATAGAACTGTACTCTCCGGATCTTAGAGGAAGTGGTTGAACTACTGTAAAGCGACATCCTCCTCTGTGTCACAACCTTATTTCACCTCTCAGCAACTTTTCAGAGAAGCGAGTGTCTTGAAATCCTAGAAACCCTGGTTAAAGAGAAGAGCTAACAAACTGTGGTGTGGAGGTGATTGGATCTAAGCCCATAGGAAGCTGATATTAACCCAGTAACTGAGCACACCTTTGTCAGATAGCTTATTTGGCCTGTCAGCATATTGAGGTGTGTGTGTGTGTGTGTGTGTGTGTGTGTGGGGGGGGGGGTTGTTCTAGTAGTGTGTCTTTGTCTAATTCCCGAAATGCTTGCATAAGTTTGTTCTTGCTCCTCTGACTTCAGGTCAGTTTTTCCTCAGAAAGGAGGAAGTGGAAGGACATTGTGTGTGCCATTATTGCAGTTCATCATTTCTCACTGTCAGACATTTATTAGCTGTCCTGGCTTTTGCATACAGCTTTTAATTCACTGTTTAGTAAGTTGTTGATGTTTGTTTTTGTTTTGCTGCAGGAACAGCCTGTTGAAAGTTATGCTTGGGACGGTCCCCTCCTTTCTCTCCACCCTGCCCCCCCTTCCGTCCCGAATCTCTTTGCACCCAGCCTCAGCCTTCCACATTCCTACACACTATCACACACACACACACACACACACACTCCACAGCAGCTCAGACGAAGCTGCCTTGACATCACCCAACATCCCACCACTCCTAGACCATTTACAACAAGGAGCTCAGTGTTTGTGTGGTATCATATTGCTGTAGGCACTAAACGTTCATTGTGTTTACAGTTTGATTTATGCAATTGGAAGTGTTGCTACCTGTTTAGTGGAGTTAACTGATCCTTTACCTTTTAACTGGTGTAGGACTTAAGTTATTTAGCAGCTGCACTGACAGTGGGAACAGTTTATGATGATTTGAATATTTTTGTTTTTATGTTCATAATTTGATCTCAGCATTTTGTGCACAAGAAAATCACTATTCTAAAAAGCATCCAAGTGTCTAGAAATGGCATAAATGCTGAACCCCCCCCCAAACATTTAATTAGTCTTTTTAGCTATACATTATGTATAATGTATAGCTAAATGTAAAATGTATAATAATTAATCAGTCATGCCTGCTCATAATTAATCAATAACCAAGGAAGAAAATGAAGACTGCGTCAACCAGCTTACTGTAACCCACAATTGAGTTCTTGTTGTTTTTGTCATAAATGATACATGTGTACCAAAATTTCAAATAATATTGAAATATTGTGTGTTTTGACTGTTATTAATAGGGAAGTGCAATATTGGATTTTTGGCCGATATCTGATATGCTGAAACCTATTTGGCCGATACCGATATTATTGTTTTTCTATTGTGCCGTATGACTAATCATGCTAACGACATCCAAATGTCTGTGGTAAAACTCTCCCAAGTACTAGCGGCTATTAGCTTCTCAATGATGTTGGAAATGATGGCTTGAAACTCCGGTAAGGCTATGTCAGAAAAATATCTCAGACTGGGGACGTTGTAGCAAGCAACATAGTCCAAAAATCTTCAGAATCCAACATCCTCACCAATGGAAAAAAAACTTCCACAGACGAAATTTTGAATTTTCTTCTCCGTTGTGAGATCAGGTAGGCGCACGTGACCTCATCACGTTGTGCTGCCGCTGCAGGCATCCTTGTCACTGGGTTGTCATACAAAAACAGCGTCTTTTAAATCGGTGAGTTATTTTGATGGAATGTCCGATATCGAGCTTGAACGCTAATATCGGCCGATACCATGCCGATAATATTGTGCATTCCTAGTTATTATGGTTTATATTTTGTTAAATTACATTAAACAATATTATTATTAATTTTATTAAGTGAAAAGTACATATTGTGTTATAAATATCGGCCATTGCCAGCCCTTCTTCCAAAGATGAGCATCGACCATAGACATGCTAATATGGATGAACCTCTAATGCAATCTTACATGAAATAATATACAGATACAGATATTCTTTATTATCATTTCTGCTGCGAACCAATGATTAACATTTTCAGCACTAATTGGTAAGCATAAAAGTCTGGCTCAGAGTCCTTATCAAAAGAGAAAAAAAACATCTGACCTTTGAGCAGCACCTTTAAGTACCGGAAGTTGAATTTTTAAATTTGTTAATCTCTATTGTCCTGATCTGTTTGATCTCCTGCTGTTTCTGCATATGCAATCACAACACAAGCTTTAACCCATAAGTGCTTTACATCACTTAGATTAAACACAGTTGTGGGATGTGGATGGATTTGGAAAAATGTAATCACTCCTTCCTGGAATGTTGGATGTGGGATTATGTCTCCTGTGATAATCTGCTCACTTTTATGGGGTTTTCTTCCTTTCCTTTTAACACTAGAGGCTGCCTTTCACTTCTATTTTCAACATTGTTTTAGCTTAAATAGAATTTCTGCTTAGAATGTGAGTGCAGAGGATGATGGGGTTTTGTCTACATCTGGCAGGTGGACGTTGGTTTCATGGTGCTGGAAAATATCCAATTTAAGTTCAGTTTATGTCTAATCACAGCTGTTTACCTGGTCTTTGTTGGTGATTGATGAAGTCTTGAGTATTGGCTAGAAGCAAAGTGTTCCAAAGGTTGCATTAGTCAGCAGAGAGGTGGTATTTATTTCAGCTAGACTTGCACAGTCATACATCCACCTTTTGTGTGTGCCTCAAAGAGTGTACTGATGATTGATTGGGTTCTGGTGATAAAGACTTACAGAAATACAATTAGAAGTGTTATCAACAACAACACACACTAAACTGATTGTGTAATAAATCCATTTTGCCATCAATCTTTAGGGGTTTCAGTTCTTTTTCCTCCCTCCTTCATTCTTTTTTTCATCTGATGGGATGCGGACTGGTGTGTGTCTTTGTGTGATGGAATTGCATGGTGGGACTTCTGGCTCTAGAGTGGTCATTGTGTGTGTGTGTGTGTGTGTGTGTGGAGTGTGGGACAATGGTGGGAGTGGGGCAGGGTCTGGGACTGATTGTGTGTGGACTTGTGGGGCCAGGGACCTCTCATTTTGGTAATAATGGTGCAGAGTAGCTCATAGTTTGATGGTGCTTTTGACACATGAAGAGACCCCTGGAAAAGTGAATTTAATTAATCCAACCAAGGTTACTTTTCACCAAATGTGGAAAACATAGTTTTAATGATAATTGCTTAGCACCTCACCCTGCTTTCTGAAAGTGATTGATGTGCTTATGGGATGTGTTTCCATTTATTTTCAGACAGACGCACATAAAAAGGCAGGAAACAAAAGCTTGTGACGAATGAGTTTAAAACAAATATCTTGTTGTTTCCTTGTTTGAGTTCCTGAGTGTGTGATTGTGAGCATATGCTTTTCAATCTCAGCAACTGCTGCGATGATAAGCACCATGATTACCCTTATCTGTGAAACCTCCCTTGCAGTGCTGACCACAGCAAAACCAATACCTCCTGCTGTCCCCATGCAGTTTTACAACCGGCTTCATAGAACAATGTCCTGCTGTGATTGGGCTCAAGCTGACATATTTAAAGCTTAAAACCGATAATGTTCCGCAGCAGAGTTGGTTATCTTTCATCTGAAATACCCGCCAAAATCTGCTCAGTGCCAAGAACTGACTTTGATTGCTTGTTTGAACATCTCAGCTGTTGGGATCACCTAAAGCTTTTAAGCCAGTGTTGCTGGTAAACGTGATAAATCAAATTCAGTCATTTTCCCTTTTTCATCGTAGTGTTTAAGGTGTAGTAAAACAATAAGAGTTACAACACTTGGAAGATGAAAATAGTTGTTGTTTTTAGTCATAACAATTTATCCTAAAAGCTGTGATGCTAAGTTGACAAATGACTTCTGGTATGGGAGGGGGCTTCAAATGTGGAAATGTCTGCATTTAACTAGGAATGTGACCAAAGGGAACAATGTGCCCAGCCAGTTGACACTAATGGACCTCCGCATCATTAGTCCTGCACCGCCCTTGACCAGAGAGGGACCACAGCCATCAAGGCAGCACTACTATTGACGGACTGGACACTTGTAACCTGTGGTCACTTGTGGTCTCTCTTGTAAATGAGTTCTCGAGGCTCAATGGGATTTACCTGTCTAAATAAAGGTTGAATGAATGAATTGTAACTTCTGCCTCTTGTCTCCCTCTGACTCAGAGAACTTCATTTTAACCTCAGATCTCCCCATCAGATCATACAGATTATCCACCTCCTCCATAGGCAGCATCATTTAGAGATTCAACACTAGGGAGCTCTGTTTAAATTTTTTCTTTTTTCACGGATAACTTGGCAACAGAAGTCTGTGTGTCCCCAGGCCATGAGCCATGTCTGTGATGCGAGTTAATCCCAGTTTTACCGCAATAACATTGGTTGTTGCCCACATGACCCACATCACTTTTATTGGTTATTGTTCAGGGACAGTGAAGGGGTGGGACTGAATGAGATGCACTATTGACAGATAACTGTAAAACTCTTGAAGAACATATTTGTGGCTGCGCACACAAAAGCCGCACACACTCTGCTTCTTTTTTATTGGAATTCTTGGACCTCCCACATTCCTGCTTAGAAGGTTAATAGTTGCCGGCTGTGTTGCATTACACATGAGGGGAAAACAAAAGTTACTATCTCTTTAAGCCCGCCTTGAAAATGGTCGTAGTTTTTTGTAAAGTCATGCACACGAGCACTGAGGTGTGTTTTAACAGTTATTAACACTACTTTTATTTGTATAATATAAAAAATGTGTTTATTTAGAGGTGAGACTTTAAGTT